CTTAATGGAAAGTAAGAAAAGTTGAAACACCTATTACTAAGTTGTTAAGTACTTCGATTTATAGCAAGCTTTTATTTTATTTTATTTACTTTACACAATGTCAGGCTTTCCAGTTCAAAATTCAAATTATTTTTGGACATGTCCTGTTGATATTCTTATATTATTGGGTATACCATGCATTTACCATGGAACTGGTATGACTATGTAGCTGTTAAATATTTATAGAAAGTCCTTAACTATGTAATCTTACCGTAATACTCGTCTTATCGCCTTTACTTGTGACAGGAGAGCTGGCGCCCAAAGAATCGGCATTGCCATTCAATGGTGGAATGCTTCTAGCATTCATGCCACTATTCCACGCGGACATGACTTGTACAGTAGTAACTAAGTGTACATTTGTTTCGTATAATAATTAAGTATATTTGTAATTCACTTTATTGTTAATTACTATGTTATTAGTTTACAAATAGACAAAGAATTGTTATAAAGAAGATTTTTGTATTTTTAAATAAAGCTCGTGAAACTAAATGAATTTGAATCAGTACAAGATACACGTTTTTATTAAAAAAATATAATTGTACTAATGGTAAGACTAAGCAAAACCACAGATCACATAATACTATACGAAACTTAAAATATATTAGTTTATAATTAGAAAACAATTATTTATTATATGTCATGTTTAAGAAAACTTAATATTCTAAAGCCATCTTTTTGTGCTATGGATTTTAAATTATAAGTTATACTTTCTAAGCCCTTACAGAAAGAGGACCGTTATGATTAGATTTGAGATGTAATATAAAGCTGAGTAATATCTAGGTAAGCTGTAAATAGTTTTGTATCACACTAGCTTCTGTCCGTGACTTCTACTCAAAAAAGTCTATACAATTTCACCTTTATACATATATAGGAGCACGTAGAAGCTAAAGAATAACTTGATCTTGACCAATTAGGTTATAATTAAATTATTTTTAATTATAGATAACAGATAAATATATAAAATAACTAAAACTGATCATTGAAAATGTATATAATATAATATGTAGCTTCGCGTAACTTCGTTGTTAGAAAAGCGGAGTCAAAATTAGCCCCTAAAAAGAGAGAGCATGTAGCATCTACCCAAATAGTCTTTCCTTTGGATCATCAGCAGAATTAAAAGAAAAAAAAAAACCTATCACTATATTTTGAGAATATTCTCAGATGTAAATAAAGTAGTATACAAGTAAAGAAATCATTTTCATATTATACTAGCGACTTACCCTCGCTCCGTTCGGGTTCGTCCCTAGGAACATTTTAATGGTTAGTATAGATTTCTCAGAGCTGAGATATTTTTCCACAGTAAAAAATATCCTATATGTTGACCCGAATACTCAGCTATCATCATACCAAATTTCATTAAAATCTGTCCAGTGGTTTTTTCGTAATGCATTCCCAGACAGACAGATAGACAAAAAAATTAAAGACTATAAATTCGGCCCCTGTATAATAATGAGTATTTAAATAAGATTTTCCAAAAAATATTTAATGTACAGATTCGACTTAGTTAGAATTTTACTATATGTATAGATTTCATGTACATAATATATAGAGCGATATAAGGCTATTTTAAGCTTTACCGTTGGACGAGCGGACTAAATTACAGTTTAGATGATGACAGGGTTTGAAATCATCTTGATGAGAAGTTATATATCTGAAGTCGATCAATAGCTATTAGTTTCTATGAAATTATAGGACTTGTCACTGTCAAAGGATAAATTCTATGGAGAAAATTGCTATATAAGGCTAGAAATAAATTATAGGCAAGTGGTTAGTTAGTATGGAAGGAGTATTAACAGAAGTTTGATAAGTTAAATATATATATAAGTATATACGAGTATAACTAGCGACTCACCCTCGCTACACTGTGTTCGTCCCTTGTACGTTTTAACGTTTAGGATATATTTCTCAGAGATAACATATTTTCCCGCAGAAAAGAGTATCCTTTATATTGACCCGCATAGCCAGCTATCATCATACCAAATTTCATCAAAATCTGTCCAGTGGTTTTCTCTTGAGCCGTTGCCAGACAGATAGACAAAAATTCTAAAAACTATAAATTCAGCCTATGTATCGATCAAAATAAGCTTTATATTTTAACTTTTTACAGGCATCATTTCACCACTACCTTAACAAATAAGTTTGCCAACATAAATTCTATATTTATTTAATAAATAATACTTATCTGTGTTGTGTAACTAAGGCCTGTAAAAACTGAATCTTACACCGCTACCTGATGCTCTTATATCAATCAGCTGAAAGTAAAATATTAATTAAAGTTTTATAAAATCATCCCAAAAATCAGTCAAGTATTCCTAATTTACAGTTTAATTTTATCAAATAAAATAATAATTAATAATAATTTTTCAACTTCATACTCAATACTTAATATATTTTTCACAATATATGATATATTTTAAAACATAAAATTACAAAACAAATAACTCGAAAAATAAATACATATAAATAAATTCAATTTTAAGATATTAATTATTAGACTAATATATTTTTGAAAAATTAATTTTGAAAAATTATTAGTTTTAACCATATTAATTTGAAGTAATCAAATCATTGATTTATTAATAATGACTTTTAATTTAATGATTATTATTCGTGATTTCTAATTAGGTATTCTATTATTTTATTATGTACAATTTTATGACTCCTCGTAAGCCAGTTTATTACTTAAGGAGATTTAAATGGCTCAAAAAGGTCAGTAAGAGTTAATACGTTTTGGAAAGGTATATAATGTCTACAAGCAAATCCATGGAGTACCCATTGTTATTTAAAATACGTCATTAAAAAATATATTTGTTATTGACAACAATATAATTTCATTTTTTATTTTTATCTTACTAATATTATATATGTTACCAGCTTAGATGTTTGGATTTTGAATGGATGTTTTGTTAATAATCAATCACGCCAGAAGGGCTGAACGGATATACATGAAATTTAGCACAGAGACAGATTACGAGTTTAGTCTGGAATAGCCCAGAGATTATAGTCTGGAATAATAATATAGAATAGTAATACGATAAAAAAATACAGAAAACTTAAATTACCTAAGCTGTGCAACTACGAGTATGTAGATATGTTCATATTAGGCAAGTTTTTTTATGTACTTATTATGAATACGACATTGTACAAGCAATACTTTTGGCTTTATAGTTAAGATTCTTTCTTTGTCATATATAGTTTTATCAATATGTATATATATCATATCCATGCAACTTTTGCTAGCAATGTTTACCGAGCAATCATATATTTTTTGTTAATCATCAATCAATCATCGGTACTCACGATACAGGTGTGTGTACCTTTAGATATGAAATATATTGTAAGCTGTACTTTTTGGCAATAAATATTTTTATTATTTATTTATTATAGTCTGGAATAGCACATGCTTATACTTAAAAAATTTTCCCGTTCCATTAATATTCCCGTGGGATAGACTTGTTTTTACTTTCAAGAGGCGAAGCCGAGCGAAGCGAGGGTGAACCGCTAGTAAGATATAATAATCAACAGTTTAGTTTCTCACTAACATTCTTTAGCTAGAAACTTCATTGACAAGAATTAAAAAACGAATATTTCACAACTAACTTCAGTTTACAGCGTATGTCTCACAGGACTCTCTCTCTCTCTCCTCCTTAATATCTTTGTTTGCAATAACAACGCCTACTATCTATTAAAGATTAATTACATCTATTTGTAGCTATCTGTAGCCAAATCGAACATAAAAAATATTAGCGATAGAAAACAATTTTAAAATTGATGTGCATGTATTAGGCAAATTATTTGTTGGGAAAAGATATATCGCTGCAATTGAAAAACTGATAGAAGATCGCCATTATCTAACTACTTCTTTGTTATACGATCAGATATTACGTATTGTTCGAAGCCGAAGGTCAATGTAATACTACATGAAGAGTAATAGCTGAAGCAAATCAGGCGATCTACTCGTTATCGCACATCTAATAGTGGCTTGAAAATATTATTGTTTGGGAATCCTTAACGGTCATTAAGGTTGTGATAAAAATCAAAAGATATGATATGAGTGATATAGGTTCCGTATATCCGATGAAGAAAGGGAAATGGTCATGGCTACGGTATCTTCGTAACTGTTGAATGTACACAGAAAGCGCTTTCGCTTTATATGTCTTTAAGCACTGACAAGTTAACTCGGTAGAAGAAAGATCAAGAATAAAAGATGGATGTTACACCACCACTTCCTAATTTAAAGCTACTAATATTTCTTAATTGTAAAAAACTAGAAATTCTAACACAAATCTAAAACTAGAACAGAATATCTTAATCTTCTGCCATATAGTTAGCCACTACGTCGATAATTCAGACTGTATATTCACAGTGAACATTTCTATGGAGCAACAGTCAAATATAGATATCGAATCTACAACCATCATTATTCAACGCCTAGTTAAGTCTTTATCAAGCCCAAAGCGTTATTTAAACCAAAAAAAAAAAAAAAACCTTAGGATCTATAATACTTGAGGTACCTTCAAATCATGTTTCAAACCCTAACTCTTAACTCATTAAACCTTATGCAATTTCAAATCTGTCACGGTTCGATGACTAGATTACAGAAAGGGTCATCGCTATCTTACGGAACTTTAAATGATTTATCTCAAGCGTGTCGATCATCACCGCCTGAATTTCCTTATTGATACCAATATTCAGATTACAGCATCCGTGACTGATGGTTGCGAGACAGCTGTGATGGCGAATCTTCCCATAGTCTTGCGAAATGAAATGCACAGCAAGATGTTGACACAAAAGAGTTGCTACTACTACTTAGTTCAAATTGTATGCATTCCAGTTATTTATTGTGAAAGAATCGTTCAATAAAACATGTAGGTTACTTTTAACGACATTCATTTTTTGGTTCTCTTTAACAGGTTTAGCTAAAACGTTAATACCTTTTGCAAACCATTTTGAGTAATATAATGTTCGTAATAAATCTTTGTCAAAGACAAAACGTTCGAATTAATAGGCAAGGTAAGAGTTTTTGCGACGATATTTTTTATGTAAGTTATTAATCAAGTATGTTAAAAACTTAAAAACAAAACCTACTTTTAGGCACTAAAATGTAAAAAATAACTAAATGGGGGTTTTCATTTAGAATAGATACCTAATCAGATATTTTCGAAGTCTGTGCTAGACGATGCAAAGCAAATCTAACATGTTTCGATACGAAAAATACATATTTACCTATTAGATATTTATATTTTCAAATATTTTCGGCTGGCACTGACTTCCAAAATATCAGATTAGGTATTTATTCTAAATGAAAACCTCCGTTTAGTTATTTTTTACATTTTAGTGCCTAGAAGGCGGCTTCTTTTTTTAAGTTTTTATTTTTCCATTTTTTTTGTAGACGTAAGAAACAGGTAATTTGTAAGAAGAAAGTTTTTTAATAACATATTTGAGAAACAATTTATTTAAAAAAAACATTTTTGATTTTTTTAAAACCTGGCAAGTATACACTTTGAAAAAAAAATCCAAATCGGTTCAGGCGTCTTCGAGTAAGCGGTGATTTCTGACTAATTGAGAACCTCCTCCTTTTTGGAAGTCAGTTAAAATCAATTAAAAATTATGTGAAATTTAATTTAAATTCATTATTTGAAGAAACTTTTAAAAATTATAGATTACAAGAATGTTTTATATATAACTAATGTCATAAACATGAAATTGTGTTTGTTTATTCGTCATCGTTAATTTATTTTTAATCTAAACATACAATAAAACTGTAGAGATCGAATACCTGTTCATAGAAAAAAAATGCTAAAAACTGAGTCAGGGAGATGTAAGAAGAGAAATAGAAAAAATCCAGTTTTTTTTTTATTTTCAATTTTTCTGTTTCTTTGTCTGTTTGTACGGGCTAATCTCCGAACCTGTTGGACCTATTTAAATGAAAATTTGCATGATCTTGCCTTTTATCCCCGGTCAACACTTGAGATACTTTTCATCCCGGAAAGTTAAAGAGTTCCCGTGGGATAGTTAAAAGAACTATTGTAACTTGTACAGCTCAGTACACAACAATTTCCGCCGCCAGTATAAGTATATACAAAGAAATGGTATATGAACAGAAGACTAAAATATGTATACAAAATACATCAAATAATTCAGTTTGTCAGTGTGTCATAAGTCAATTGTAATAGAGAAAAAAAAAATACAATTAAAATGCGAGCGAAGCATCGGCGAACCACTAGTTTAAATGACACCAATTTTCTGTTACAAAAGTATTGCAATCTTGACGGGATATTATCGCAACTATTATTCTAAATGTGCTAATTAAGTTCACAATATTTCACGGCGAATCTTCTAGTTTTTGCCGTTTCATTTAGAATTTAACGGTCCATTAGTAATAGAACAAATATTTGATGAAAGTAAAAAGAGCTCTGTTCAGTCGTGCGTGTAAGACGCCTTCCATACTGTGGTGAATCTGACAGAATATTCATTTTTTTATTATAGAGACTAGCAGAACCCGCGGCTACGCCCGCGTTCAACCTACAAAAAAAGATTGGCTTTATATTGTACAGCGGCGCGACCTCGCTCCACTCGTCTCGTCTCGTCGTTATGCATTTATATAATATTGTTCATACAAAAATATTAAAATTGCAATATCACCATACCAAATACAAAAAAAAAACATTAAAATCGGTCGAGCCGTTTTGGAGGAGTGCAACCACAAACACCGTGAAACAACAAAAGTGAACAAGAAAAGCTCCAAAAAACTAAAATTTAATATAAAAAAATACCATACCAATACGGATACTTAAACGCCCGCCATTTCACGCGCTTGTCGTGACGTCACAGTATGATATACACAGAAAAATGACGACTCAATTTGTAGCGACAAGATCGCTAATCACTCTGTTATGATAACATTTTAACGTCATATTCGGTCTGACCAATGGCGTGTGTTTCAACTACTTTGAATTTCCCACCTATATTTGCACTTTTTAATAATTATTATCTTAATCAAAAAAAAAAATACATTAAAAAATATTGATATAGGCTTAATTCAAAAGCGATAACGATTATAAAAAAAATATTTCAACTTTGTTTAAATCACACGCATACTCCCTATTTGATATCATAAAGTATCACTTCTTAATTTTTTTTTTATTTTTTTTTTTATTTAATCATTTATATGAATGACTAATACATTATAGTTATTTCACGTGTTAGTATTAAACGTTTATAGAAAAATGATTTGCACAGAACTTTCTACACTTCGCAGTATCCGCTGTTAAGATTTCCCATCGAAATGTATGTTATCAATTGAATGGTACACTTTCAATCCGCTTTGACACAGAATACTGTTAGTTTTGAAATGGCATCAAGCATTTATGAAATCTGAAATAAACTGCCTTAAAAACTGATAAATTATTTTAAATATGCAGTATTTTTAAATGTATAAAATAATAGAATAAAGGTATTTTACTATAGTTGTTTAATTATTGTAGAAATTGTTTTCATATGCAAAGAAAAAGAACTGACAAAATAGGTTATCATACTCATATCTACATCATTGTTGATACCCTGATTTTTAATATAGAATAACTAGCGACTCATCCTCGCTTCGGTTCGGGTTCATCCCTAGGCCAAAACAAATCTATCCCACGGGAACCGTACATTTTTCCGAGATAAAAAGTTAGTTATGTGCTATTCCAGACTATAGTATATCTCTGTGCCAAATTTCATCCAGATCCGTTCAGCCGTTATGACGTGAAAGAATAACAAACATCCATCCATCCTCACAAACTTTCACATGTATAATATTAATATGGATAATACGAAGAGCGAGGGTGAATCGCTAGTATCGTATATAAATGCAAGTTAATATCCTATAATGACTTTACTAAGATATCTTAATATTTTGACTATATTTCAATATATACTGAACGATTCCACTTCTAGTACTTCGTAATCTGTATTCCTAAGTATCTTTTCCCATGTAAGTGGGCTGAGGCAATAATATTTTTTATTTTATTAGAACGGTATTGATTCGAACATTTGTGGGGCAATTAGATTCTAATCACTATTGTAGCTGTTGTTGGGTGAAATATGCAAGAAGTATGAAAAAAGCATGTTGACTAACAGATTGCTAATATATTTGACTCATGTTACATTATAAACTCTTAGAAGAATTAACTGTGCACATATTCTTTTATTATTCTTTCTGGCTTATAAATTAGGGTCAAAATCTATATATGTTCATAGTACATAGATAAACTATGACATATGTAGATCTCACAAGATAGGTAGATATATATATATATATATATATATATATATTCTGTATAGCTCGGTATATAGTATAAAACTTCTTTGCCATATGAAATAATATGTGGAAACTACTGTATACATTACATATAATGGATGATGAACATGATCGTTATAAATTTCATTTGTCTTCATCGACAGAATTGTGAATTTAATTAGTACCTATGATTTATATAAAATACTAGCAACATACTCTAACTTCGCTCGTGTAAATCCTTAGGTGTCTACTAAAATCCAAATCCATCCAGCAGTTTCAGCGTAAATGATTACAAACATACACATACATACATACAAATTTTCGCAATAATAATATTAGTCCGATATTATATTTTAAACTTGCTATATTGTTACAGGTTGCAATTTCTATCCTGCTGGAGAGTATTTGAAATTTGTGAGGATACCAGAGAATCTGAGTGTCGGAGATGAAGTGTTGCAAGTGGAAGTGCACCCCAGGTAAGACTATTGTAACACTTAATAAAAGCTTTATGCATTGTAATGTCCAGTGAATACTAGGAATAGATATACTCGTACATACATATATGAAATGACATATATACAGGATATGGTGGTTTCACAAAATTACTTTTTGACAAAATTAGTATACCGACTACAAAATCAACAATAACAATACAATTAACTTTTAGGGGCTACTTTATTTTAATTTATTTAATTTATTTAAAAAAATATGGAAAACGGTCCATGATAATTTAAGTGAATATATCGCGTATTTACCCACAAAGAAAAATACAAACGAATCGAGTGCCTTTGCCTTTTCAAAGTCATCCACTTATTAGTAAAACACGACTAACATATTCCAAGATCTCTAATTCTAATCATATTTTATTTGGATAAAGTTGCCAAAATTGCAAATATACATTGAATTTATTAAACCTACTTACTTTATATAGTATCATTTTCCGTTCAAATATCTTTAGCCAATTTTATGGGCCTAATATTTGTCGGTGTTTTCGTAACACCTGCTCGTTGGGCCATGAAACCCATCAAAGATTGCTATCTAGCAGACATTTACTCCGGCTAGTAACTTACCGAAAAGTACCGTTATATATATTATTTTAATATAATACTGGTTACTTGTTTTTAAATAAAACTATCTATTCGGATTATTTCGCGGATTTATTTTGATTTTTGGTTGGTGGGAACCAAAAATCAAAATAAATCCGCGAAATAATCCGAATAGATAGTTTTATTTAAAAATGTCAAACATTCGCGTAAATCTAAGAAAGTATTACTGGTTACTTGTATAAAAATATAGTACGTTGACCAAACTTCGCTTGTCGTCAGTGCTCGTTCAGAAGGTTATCCATCCATTGGTGACAATGTATCGCAAAAATATACGAGACGGCGCTGTATGACATTGTCAGCATGAGAGGAGATAGAAAAAGGTAAAAATTATAATTAGTTATAAAAAAATATGTTTCTTTTTTTGTGAAAACTTGCCTTTTTTTATAAAAGAAAATTATGTAGATAAACTTGATAAGCAAAATCTTGTCTTTATACAAAATTTGATTCAATCCGTTAGCCCGTTTCCGATATACCTATTATTAATTTATATATATATATATATATATATATATATATATATATATATACAAAAATTGCTCATTAATTATTATAAGATTACCTATAAATTTTATATTACTAAGTAGTAATGAACAAAAAAATATTCCAAAGCTAATTCCCAAGGAAATCCGAAATTCATGACATTTTTAAAATGTTAACTCTCGTGAAGCACACGCGTGTGATATCTGTGTAAATCATCTTGTATCGTAATGGAACATGTTGTGAGAACAAGGTTACGAGTCCTCTTGCATGAAATTATAACAGGATTTCAAAATGTACCCGTTGCTTGATGTATTTACTAACAATTTAAAAAAGAATTATTAGTATATAGTAAGAGTTATTTATTATAATGAAAATCATGAATCATGATGAAAATTATGATTTCTTGTTTATATTGTTAAACTAGGATTTGCCTCCACAACACTTGGCATCCCTAGGTTCCTATCAGTTGCCTAAGTAATACCTACTCCAAGTTAAAGCCTATCGGTTACATGTGTAGTAATCCAAATCCGTTAAGCCATTTCAATTTTATGGAGTTAAAACATTCATAATATATACAAGCTTTCGCATTTAAATATTAGCGGAATAAAATATTTTTTCGAATCTTTTTGAAAGCCTAATTGGATCAAATGCACATGACGCATCATATATATTTATGTGGAATTTAAACTCGGTAGCTTTGGCATGGACAGTGCAGAGACACCACTGAATCGTAACAGTCAAACTAAAAAATAATATAAAAAAACGTGTCTATGTACTTATGTACTCACGTAAGAAGTCATACTTATTTGACGTAACAGAACAAAAATATCTAAAGATTTCATCCCGCTGTCGCTTCATCATGTCGCTTTTTGGCTGTCGGTGTGCGCGCGCGCATCGTAAAAAATGTACACTTATTTTTTTTTCCAAACGTGCCAAAAGAAGTATAACTTCAAAACATAACTTACATAAAATATTCACTGGACATTTATAGCCCGTGACCGATTTAATAACACTAATGATAGATTCAATCTCCGCATTACGCATTGGAGTAATGTAAAGCAAGATTCGCGCTCTGCTTCACATATTAATATTTATGACTCAATACATGTCAAATGTAATGGCTGCGTGTGGATGTTTTTTTAAACTATCTCTTTAATTTTAAATTGTGTAGAGAAAAAATTAAAAATATGATACTATAGAATTTATGAATACGTTTTAGCGTTAAGTACAGATTTCTCAGAAATCAGATACTTTTCCGCCTAAAAATGTATCCTTTATGTTGACCCGGATAACCAGCTATCATCATACCAAATTTCATCAAATTCTGTCCAGTGGTTTGCCCGTGATGCGTTTCCAGACATACAGGCACACCGACAAAAATCCTAAAAACTATAAATTCGGCTTTTATATCGATAATAATGACTATTTCAATAAGATTTTCCAAAAAATATTCAATGTACAGATTCGACTCAGAATTTTATTATATGTATAGATTATAAAATTCCATTTTGTCCTTTATATCCATATTAAATTTTTAATTACCTCCATAAAACTCCGACTCGCGCTCAGTTTCATTATATTTAACATTACAAATCTTGAAATGTTATTGAAAGAATATTTGCTAATAATCATAGAAAAACGTATAATTAATAGTAATAATAATTATAATATAAATTAAATTGAATGACTAACGTTTGCCTAAATTTCCGCAGACATAATGACACAGATTACCTAATGTGAGAGTAAAAGTGTGATGGTGTATAGACAATATTACTATGTAACACTTGTATGTAGGTCATCTCTCACGTCAATGTTAAAACCGTATAATTAAAAGTAGAATATTAAAATTTTATCTGTAATATATTTATCAATATCGAGGAAGATTAAAATTTAGAAATTAATTTTTCCTCATTAGCAAATCGTTAAATATTTTACAATACTGAGTTACGATTATTTTATTCAAATATATCGGGTACAATACCTAGTTTCTTCGATTTACGGGATTATTTGATATCTATACAGATAAATAAAATTGAACTATTTGCTCAAAAAGTTGAAGTGTCTTTTTGTTTTTTTTCAAGAAATTTTATCAAAATCTGTCCAGTGGTTTTCTCGTGATGCGTTCCTAGACACACAGACCGACAGACGAAAAAGAAGAGACTGTATCGGTAATGTCTATTTCAATAAGATTTTCCAAAAAATATTTAATGTACAGATTCTACTCAGAATTTTATTATATCTATACTAATATTATAATCTATACTTCTATACTATAATATTATAAAGAGGTAAAGTTTGTGAGTTTGTGAGTTTCTGACGTTGTAGGGGTAATCTCTGGATCTACTAAACCGATTTAGATGAAATTTGGTAAGGAGATAGTTTGAAACCCCGGGAAGGACATAGCATATTTTTAATACCGGAAATCATCCCTTAAGGGGTCGAAAATGGGGATGAAAGTTTGCATGGGGAATCAAGCTAGGGACGAACCAGAGGGAAGCGAGGGTGAGTTGCTAGTGTATAGATAATATTATATGAATGAGCATTTGACATTTCAGTCTATTGTAAAATGACTGCAATCCAAACATTAGGTAATTGCTTGAATAGAGTCGAACAAAAAGCAGATGGACATGTTCTTACGGTAATGCATTTGATGTGTCGCAAGGAGGCATTTTGAAAATTAGAATATTAGAACCTTATTTCATTACTGATTTAAAACGGTCGTCATGTATGAATAATGTTCTTATAATTTTATAATCGCCGAAATCCTTCTGGCGCAGTAGTAAAGTAGCAGGCTTTAGTGGATGATCGAGGTTTGATTATCTGTTGGTTATTTCACGTCGTTATTTATATAGAATATAAAATTATATATATCTAACTAGCGACTCAATCTCGCTTCGCTCGGGTTCGTCCCTAGGTACATTTTTTTTGAGCGGAACCCTAATTCTTTTACTGAAATAAAAGTAGCCTAAGTTACTCCTTATAACATCAAATATTTGCCAGTGAAAGTCCCGCAAAATCGGCCCAGCCGTTTCGGAGATTAGCCAGAACAAACAGAAAGACACAAAAAAATTAAAAAAATTGTGTTTTTCTTATAAATACCGTATATCCAAAAGCATTTAATAAAAAGCTGTTATTTTGACATTACAAACAGACACTTCAATTTTATTATCTGTATAGATAAATTTAATAAAAGTTGACACAATACAATAGAAATCTGTCTTTTTTTCTATGTATTTCAAATTGTTAAAAACTAGCTATGTCATTTCACCTTACTGTTACTGATTGCGGTTCATAATCGCCGTTGAGATCTTAGAAAGTGGGTTCATGGGAATGTGATGATGTTCTCCTAGCCGATTCCGGCCACGGCGGCCAATCTCATTGAGACAAGCCAACTGCACAGGAGATATTATAGTGCACAATTGTACGCGCATACACAACGTGCACTCTCTATTCCTGTCACTCTCATACTCCGGTAGGACGACCACTCGACACGACCGGTGAGAGTTAAGGCGCAGGACCGACGGCTTTACGTGCTCTCCGAGGCACGGGGGTGAAACACCGCCAACTTCCCAACTCCGAGCTGTTACTGAGGCTTACTGTACAGAAAGACTCAATAACTAAACTTGGCCCGACACGGGACTCAAACCCAGGTCCTGGGTGTGCAGCCGTACATGCTAGCCACTACACCACCGAGGCAGTATGGGAATGCAGTAGTTACATTTAATATGAGTGTCTCTTACATTTTTGCTAACTCTGAAAATACTATACATAGGTAGTTCAGCGGAATTACGATTATTTTAATACTTTCTTAGATTTACGTGAATATTTGACATTTTAAATAAAACAATCTTTTCGGATTTATTTGGGTTTTTAATAATTTATTTTAACTTTTTTAATTTACACATAGAACAATTATATGGCTTAAATAATTAATATTATATTTTATAATTTTTCTTTATGGTTATAAATATAATAATGGCAACACTAAATATAGATTGCTAATTAATATTTTTAAAATTGTAATAATTATAATGATAACAGCAAAAATGAAATAAATAATATTCCATATTCAATTATAAAACTAATTAAAATTATAAAAATGTTTAAACTTAAAAAAATATTGTAAGGTAATTTGGTGCAATTTTCATTTTGTTAATTGTGGCTGTCTGTAACAATTATTATTATCTTCGAGACATGTAACACCTTAGCCTCTTCCGTGACCATGATTGCTGTAAAGCATTCGAAACGTCGGGAACCAAGAATCCAAATAAATCCGCGAAAAAATCCGAAAAGATAGTTTTATTTAAAATACGATTATTTTGTTTGTGTGTTTGTATCGCTACATCCTGTCCCAGCAAGTCGAGAACCTGAAGCTACATAGGTTTGTTCATTTACGGTCTCTAGCGCAAAAGTATTTATTCAAAACATACATACATGAAAAACTTTCATTTTAGGTTGATTATTTTTATATAGTTTGTACATTATAGTCTTTTAATTATTATTTTTTATATAACGCTTATATTTGTTAATATAATATTTAGATTATTTTTATTTTCACAACCTATTTCATTTAAAATGTAAAAATATCTTCATATACTAATCATTACATTTTTTAGTTACATATTCCGGATACCGCCATCTAGCTAAAAGTGTTTGCACTAGAAGCGTACACTAACGTAATATTATGATACCGTAAAGCTCTATGTGTATTTATTTTAGTTTAAAATTCTCACTATAGATGTCTCTATCACATGATCTTAAATTAAAAAAAATAGTTGCAATAATAATTTATGCCTTATATAAAAAAAAAAATCTATATATAGTATAGGTACAATGTCTTGCCTTTTCTCGCTTATTTTTCAACTTGACTCTAGCAATATATCTCTCGCTTCTCACCTTTATTTCGCTCGGGTTCGTTCCTAGCGAAGAACGAAAACAAATCTATCCCATAGGAACTCTAAATTTTTCCGGGATAAAAAGTATCCTATATGCTATGCCAGACTATAATCTATCTCTGTGCCAAATTTTATCCAGATCCGTTCAGCCGTTCTGGAGTGTTTACATAACAAACATCCATCCATCCAAACTTTCGCATTTATAATATTAATACTAATGGGATTAGTTGTTACAGTTAGTACCTAACCACAAAATAAAAAATAAAAATGGCCAAAGTACCTTACAATATTTGTTAATTTTCTCTTTATATAATTTCAAATAAAAAGAAATATCTGTCATTATTTCACTTTTCATGTAAACTTTATTTTTCTATCACTTAGTTGTATTTAAATAAATTTGGTAATTACGATTCTAACTAACTAAATGTATGTTAGGTTTTAAACACACAATTTATTACTATAAAATAAAATATTTACTTTTTTTACATATTCACTTCGTTAAAAGCAAAAAAATTGCAGACAAAGCTTGCGTATATACGCAATATATATACTTCTACGAAAATGGGATATATCTTGAAAACTACAAAATGTTTTAAACTTTTTTTTATTATATTTTTAGACTTTAATTCGTCTTTAACTTACAAGACGTATGGATTGAGGCAAAACAAATGTTCATATAAGTTCTTCATCTATTACACAGTACCGTTGCTGTTACATTATAAGAATAAGAATAATCCATAATCAAAATTTCGATAAACGTTATCACTTTCAAAATAAAATTTCGAAGGAAAATATCTAAAGTGTTGCGTTTCATTGTTTTTATTACATAATATCTTTGATATTCCAGAAAGAATCTGATCCTCCAAGCAGTGGATAGAGAGGAAGACGCCCATCTCTTCACATACAGAGACGTGAACAGAACCCACGTTGCTGTGATCCTGGCGCAGAGTGTGGACGACCTGGTGGACAATGATTCTCCACAAAACATCGTGAAATTCAGACTGGGATGCGACTTTGATACTGGCGATGACCTAGTAAGTTGGACTTTAATAATAAATAAATATGGTGGGACATTAACACACAGTACCATCGAGTTCCATGGTAAGCTACGAAGCTTGTGCTATGGATACCAGATAGTTGATACACTACACATATATAACTTTAAATACATACATATTATAAATATAAACACCCATGACTGGAGTACAAACATTCGTGCTCATCACACAAATGAATGCCCCCAGCGGGACTCAAACCGCGACCGTTGGCACAGCAAGTAGGGTCACTACAAACTGAGCCAAACGTGTCGTCAAAATTTTATAGTCTAGATTTTAACACATATGACATAATACTATATGTACTAGGTTATATTTTGTCGAAGGTACAATAAACGTAGTTAGTAGAATGGGGATATTATAAACCACACGGTATGCGAATTCCGCTATTTTTACTGTAATCGACCTATTCATACTTTATAAGGCACGAATTCCCCAGGTCATTGTTTATAGAACTTTATGATTCTCCGAAGTATACGATAGAAATTAAATTTATAAAAAAAGTGTTTTTAATTATTATTGAACATAAGATCTGGTTTCGGTACCCGAATGTATAAAGTAGTTAATTATTATTTTTATTGAATTATAGCAATTTTTCAGGACAGAAGTGTAATTTATTGTACTTAAAAAATTCTAACTAAAGATAGACACAACCTTCCAAAAAGAAAGTCTTTTTAACGTCCCACTGCTGGGCACAGGCCTCCCTTCAATACGAGGGGGACAGGATATAGTCCACCACGCTGGTCAAGTGCGCATTGGCGGAATTCACATGTCTTTCGACAACTTGTTAGGTTCTCTCAGACATGCAGGTTTCCTCAGCGTGTTTTCTTTCACCGTAAGCAAGTGGTAATCATGTTAGAAATGATCCGCACATGAAAATATCAGAGGTGCGAGACCCGGGATTTGAACCCGCTTCACTCGGTTTCCCAAGCGGACGCGTTATCACTGAGCCACCATTCCTTTTTCAAATATTTACATACTTAAGTACTTTTTTAATTACATTATATGATACTTTCTTAGATTTACGCGAATACTTGACATTTTAAATAAAACTAATTTTTTAGATTTTTCCGCGAATTTATTTTGATTTTTGGTTCCCGACGTTTCGCATTAAAAGTTAAAATATTGTAAGGTACTTTGGTGCCATTTTTCAATTTTTGATTTCTTTGTTATTTGTGGGTAGGCTGTCTGTAACAACTATATAATACCTTAGAGACATCTAACATCTCAGTCAGGCAATCATGGTCACGGGAGAGCCCGTGACCATGATTGCCTGTAAAGCATACGAAACGTCGGGAACCAAAAATCAAAATAAATTCGCGAAAAAATCCGAAAAGATAGTTTTAATTACATTACATGAATAAATTACCCATATAATTATATGCTGTACATAAAACACAAAAATAGCATACAGGAACCAATAAATCCATGGCAGTACTTATAATAAAGCCAATGAGGCACATTTTTATGTTACTTTTACAACACGCCGTAAAGAGTGTAAAGACGCTTTTTAGACGAAGTTCATTGAACCGCGGGACGGGAACCTCGCGATTGCACATAGACCTATATATAGTAAATGAAAATGACTTGGTGTAAAATAAAATTTAGGTACGTTATTCTTACTAATGACACAATCACTGTTTGTTTGTTCGTTTGTTTGTTTGTTACGTCTTGATATTTGGAGATGGAGATACCTTATATTCAGGTTACAAGCAGAACCACTAGTAAGAACTAGTATCAAAAGGCGAAAATGTACATAGACAATGGCGATTTTTACTATAGAGCTAGTTTGTAAGCCTGTACATGAAAATTTACTTTAATCCCTTCAAAAAATACCTGCGGGATATTAGTCTAAAATAAACATTTAAATGTTAACCCATAACTTATGCGATTACTTAGAAAATGAAATAATACGGGTTCAAACCCGGTAAACCTAATATATGTAGTTTTCTATAGTAATACTGAGAAGAAAAACTTCATAACGCAACCTGTATGCTTGAATGAACCTAACTAGTTCTTAAAAATATGTAAAGTGTGCCAATACGCACTCAGCCAGCGTGGTAGACTATGGCTTAATCTCCATTGTATTGAGAGGATGCACATCCCCAGCAGTAGGACATTAAGGAAGCAGTATTATAAACAGTAACTAGTGATGCGATGATGGGATGCAAGTTTCTAGAACTCGATATTTTTAATATTAAATTGACTCATCTAGAGAAACTATAGTGATGTCAACAGACTCCGTCGGCGTATGTTTACATAAATACTTCACCCATTTGCATAATTGCTCTCGAATAATCGCTAAAACGGAAACAATGTGTCGATGTAATTAATTTTATAATAATTGACTCGCAGTTTACTCTTGAAGATGTTAAATATTCAGATAAAAATAATCATATGACGCTGCATGATTTATAGCATAATATAGAATAGATTTTTATTATTTGTATTTATTATAAGCCACAATTTTAAGACCTTTAATAATTATTGATTATGAAAATGATAAAATTTTCGGTAAGTTATAAGGATTAATTTTTCAAAAACTGTTTCTAAATATATGTATATACAATTAATTCGTATAGATTTATAATTGGTTATTTTGGTATTCTGGGATTTTTAGGATTGAAATCAAGTATTTATAAAAAAACAATAGAATTTTAAACGTATGTAAACTTACTAACAGACGAAAGATAATATAATAGTGCACATAAGAAATATTAATTTATAGGTTATTTTTCTTTAATAAGCGAAAAACACAATGACACAACTACTTTAACTTCCGAATGCTCAAGATGATTTACATCCATACTTTCTCATGCTATTTCAAATACAACAGAAAGTAAAAGAATTTTAAATCCAAAATGCTGATAAACCAAACATTACTTCCGATTGAAAGGATTCGCTAAAAATGAGAAATGTTTAACGTTACAAGCAAGTGATAAATCACCAGGTTAGACACGTCCTAAATATATATTGAAAATTATTTTCAACCATGAGCACCATGGAATTCAGTTGAAAGATTTTTTTGATGTCAAAGCCAATATATTGATAAAAAATCTGACTATATTACTGTTCACTGCATAAAAAGAGGTAACGAATAATAAAATAAAAGTAAAAAAAAAGAACTTTGATAACTAATATGAAACAATATTTATATTGTAGAACAAATAACATAAGAATTTTTATTATATGTATAGAACATATAATAAAAATTCTAACTGAGTCGAATCTGTACATTAAATATTTTTTGGAGAATCTTATTGTAATAGTCATTATTATCGATACAGAGGCCGAATCTATAGTTTTAGAGTTTTTTTCTGTATGTCTGAGAACGCATCACGAGAAAATCACTGGTTAGACGAGAGATCACTTTTGATGAAATTTGGTATGGTGATAGCTGGTTATCCGAGTCAACATATAGGATAATTTTTACTACGGGAAAATATCTCTTGGAAATATATACTAAGCGCTAAAACGTAACTAGGGACGAATCCGAGCGGAGCGAGAGTGAGTCGCTAGTTACTAATTAACTACTATTATAATATAAAACTTTAAAAGCATCATACAAGTATATTTTTTATTATAAATTATTTGTCTTAATATAAGTAAGAGAGAAAAATTATTCCATTTTTTTATTCTTGTATAAATATAAGGCTGGTTTACGACCTTTGACAAATGTGATTAGTTGAACAACAACAAACACAAGTTTGGCGCGTAAAACCGTTATTGTTATGTTAAGAATTATTCATGACACTTTAGTGATACGTAAATATATTAAAATATTGTTTATAATATAAACATATATTGCAAATGAAATAAAATGTAATTTATTTAGAAGTGACACATTAATATTTTTGTTTAATTGTAGTTTATTCGTGTTGTTTATTTCAAACTACTTTTGTATAGAGACAGATAGAGAGCCTTTCTTCTTCTTCAAGTGCCTCTCTATTACTGAAGATCAGCATTTCTCCTCCTAAATTCTTCTTTGTTCGCGGCTAGCCTAAACACATCTTCAACCCTCTTTATCCCGGTCTATTGTGAAATATAACTGCCAGGACTGAGGACATCTCCCTCTTACACTTCTCTTACCCGCAACTTTGTCTATCATAATAAATAAAATCAGTTGATAACGTTCATGACTTAGCACGTATAGATTTCAAAATTTTATAAAGCGAAAGTATTCCTGCGTCAGAGTAACAGGCTTATTTTTTCTTAATTATTAAGCGAATGGAGTCAATAGCGGAAACTACTTATATTTTTTCCACAAAATAAAGTATTGAATTTAAAATTTGGAAAATAGTAATAATATTTTCTACTATTAAATACTATAAAATATGATTTTTAATTAAAATTTCTTTTTTTTCAGATATCGGCGTTTTTATCGGTGACGGTGTACATAGAAGATATCAATGACAACGTCCCGATATTTTTGGATACGCCTTATAGAATAAGTGTGGATGAACTCACGCCACCAGGTAAATATAAATATAAATGCAATACCTATATATAAATATGCAAACACAAAACAGTACCATTTTCTCCTTTGTTTGTCAACCAATTTTCTTTTTTTATTGGCGAGTTTTAATTTTATTAATACGAGTATGTAAAACAATATGGAAATATTAAGTTTTTTGAAATGAAAAATTGTATAGGCAGGTTTGGATAGGGAGTTAATTCATGTAAGTCGTCATCGACATGGTCACGTGACGGGTTAACGCTAACACTCAGAGTGCCGATAGATGTCAAAACCAGATAAATGTAAACAGTTTTAATTTACAAATTTCAATTTAAGATCAAACAATTAATTTGAATATCCAAAAATAACAACAGTTTTTTTATAGTTTTAAGTTTTCACTTCTATCGGCAGTTCTCATGACTGCTTTTTTCATATAAATAGTTAAAGCCAAAGCAATGCAGTATTATTATTTATTCGATAATAATAACGGTCGAATTTTGACCACTGGGCAAACAATAGCCGTAAAAAAAAAGAAATTAATTTACAAAATAATCTTCAATTCTATATCTTGCTAATTTATTTCCTTGTAAATGTTTCTAAAGTGTGCCAGTTGAGCATAAATTACTCCGCCAAAGTCACAGATAAAGATGAGGAAAAAGTTTTAGATTATCGGAAAAAAGCTTTACAATCATTTTTCACAGTTATTATTGTAAATATGTATAACAATAAATAATAGTAATAAGTAAAATCTATAATAAATTTCTTACAGGCTTAACAATATTCAAAGGTATCAGAGCTTTCGACCGAGACAAACCCAACACTCCTAATTCCGAAATTCAGTACAGCATCACGAGCGGAGATGAGCGCTTTATACTGGAAAGCTCCCACAAGCCTGCTCTCATTTTGAATAAACCATTGGATTTTGATAGCGGTGACAGGGAATTCGTTCTTGTTGTAACTGCGTCAGTAAGTAGAAATTTTATTTTAGCAGTTTTTTTATAATAGTTTTTTAATTTGTTCGTCTATATTCTGTCACGTATATATGGAATTTTATAGTTACCACTACAATGGAGTAAAGATACAAAAATTAATGCATTATGTTCAAAAAAAGAAAAAAGAAAAAAAAAGAAAAGGGTTTATTGGATGGAGCAATATAAGTTCTTGTATGTATGTACGTATTCAGCCCCTTTTAACGTCCCACTGCTGGGCACGGGCCTCTCTCCAGTACGAGGAGAATCAGGTCATAGTCCACCACGCTGGCCAAGTGCGGGTTGGCGGATTTGAATTAACTTGATTCGCACATAAAAATATCGAGATCCGAACTCACTTCAGCTGAGCGCGTGGTAACGTGCTACTGGGCTACCATTGCCTACATAATAAATGCTTTTATAATATGTCATATATATCCCCACCCTGTTTAAAATGACTTAAGGGTAGATTATCTATAAATATTTATATAACAACATTAAGTTTATTTCAGGATCGTGGATCTCCTCCTCGAAGCTCAAATACAACAGTTCATATTTTGGTGCAGGACAATGACGATTTACCTCCAAAATTTACGCACGACGTTTATCGGACTAAGATACCCGAGTTCTATCCTATCCTTGTAAGTATAAAATATCCTGGTTCGCTTTCATTGAGAAAATCTATAATATATCTTGTACGTATAATAAAATTCTAACTGAGTCGCATCTGTACATTAAATATTTTTGGAAAATCTTATTGAAATAGTCATTATTATCGACACAGAGGCCGAATCTATAGTTTTTAGAATTTTTATCTGTCTGTCAGTGTGTCTGAGAACGCATCACGAGAAAACCGCTGAACGGATTTTGATGAGGTGTAATGATAGTACCGTATAAAATTTGAACGACATTCTATACGTCGCGATATGCGATACGTCGATGGTCCTTTACAATTCCTAATTAGATTCAAAGTAGAACTGAAATTTTTAGAAATCTTTGAGGGATAATAATATCTTTATATCTTACCAGCGAATCACCCTCGTTTCGCTCGAGTTCATCCCTAGGTTGCTTCTCCATAAAAAAATGTATTCCCATTTTCAACCCCTTAAAGGATGATTTCCGGGATGAAAACTACGCTATGTCCTTCTCAGGATTTGAAACTAACTTCTTACCACATTTCATCAAAATTAGTTTAGTAGTTTCGGAGCTCATTCGGTACAAACAAACAAGCAAAAAATCTTTCTTCTTTATAATATTAGTATAGACAAAGAAGGCAAAACCGCATGCACTGACCAGTACTTATTAAGCTACTTCCTCGAAAATAAATTGTAGCTTGATGGGCGTAGCTTAAACCGTCGAAAATGACAACGAAGAAAATAATTTGTATACGAAAATAATGGGATAGCTGTATAAAGGACGCGCTTCGGAATAAAACGGCATGTCCATCAACAACATTTCTGTTTTTTTTTTTTTAATTGAACTAGATGATTAATTAAAACGTTATTTAAAGTAATTAAGATATAATCGTTTACTATGCTTTATATGCAGCTAGTGTCTTATTATCGCTTCACTTGACTGCGTCCTTAGGTATATATAAAGATATGTAGAATGTAACACAACAGGAATGGTTATTGTTAGGAAAAAACTATTATAACCATTTTTGTAGATAATTTTATGATTTACAATTTCTGTCTAGACAATATTTTTGATAAAACTTACCGTTTTCGAAAAAAATCCAAAGAACCGAAAATTTTGACCTTGAATAACTTTTTTAGCACACATGGGATCGATGGGGACTTTTGGCACTTTATTTCTACTTGGTGTATCTAAAGTCTCTACCAAAATTTTCACTATTTTTACAGTTCAGGTCATAATAATCTATCTGTGTAGTAAGCATTCAAATCCGTCTGGCCGTTTCTGCGTGAAAGAGTAACAAGCACACAAACATACACTCAGTCAGTGAGTTTGATATTCTGTAAGTTCGTGTAACAGGAGGCCATCACCCAATAAGAGTGTGTATTGGCATTAAATAGCGATGCCGAGATCTGCACTTACATATAACATGAAAAAAGTCCAAGATATAAAGTATAACAACAATTATTTTTTTCGGATTTTTTCATGGATTTATTTTGATTTTTTTTCGTCTCGATTGCTTTATATCACTCATGGTCACGGGAGAGACTACGACTGCAGACGTTTCAAAACGTAATATATACTCGTAGTTATAACAAATCTACCCACAAAGTTATATATTATTTTGGAAGAAATAAGAATTGATTTTATAATTTAAAAAAAAAACAAAAACTCAAACACCTTAGTCTCTACCATGACCATGATTGCTGTGAAGCATTCAAAACGTCAGGAACCAAATACACACACACATTCGTATCTACAACAGTAGTCCAATGAATGTACCAGGGCAAAAGAATCCACAAGGAGCTAACCTTCGAGCCCCCCATCCGCGCCTTCGACCAGGATGCGGGCGTGGCGGCGCCCGTGCGCTACGCGCTGGCGGCGGGCGACGCGCGCGGGACGTTCCGCCTCAGCGCCTTGAACGGCAGCCTGTTCTTGGAGAGGGAGATCGATCTGGATGCTGAGACCTCTCTGCCGGGTGAGTCTTAGGATTATTTCTCTTTGAAAAGGAGATAGAGATTTAAAACTGATTTTTATTTTTTTATTTCGATTTAAGCTAAGTGTAATTGAGCAAGCTACAATATGATTTTTTAAACACACATTGTTTTTATAATATGAAAATGTAAAAAATACACATTAAAATTTATTATTAAAAAAGTTAAATAGCCATAGGAATATTATATTTACAACTTCATTCAAATGGACGTATTTGAAGAATCTATTGGCATATTGGTCAAAGAACAGTGAGTTCGTTCCACGCATATGAGAAATGAGTTAGTCACCAAAGTTTTGGGTATTTGCTCTCTATGCCAAATATGTACACTCTTACCTATTACAAAACATACCTTAGTAATGGCATTCAGTAATATCTTTACATAGTATAAAATGAAGTCGCTTCCGCTGTCTATTCGCTTAGTTCTTTTAAACTACTCAACGGATTTTAATGCAGTTTTCAGCAATAGATAGAGTAATTTAAGAGGAAGATTTATATTTATAATATATGCATATTATAATATTGAAAAACCTAGAAATTCAAAAATTTGTATTTCATACTAACCGTTAAAACGTACCCAGGGACGAACCCGAGCGAAGCGAGGTTGAGTCGCTAGTATTATTATATTGTTGTATTATTTATTGTAGGAAACACGTTTGTACTACAAATCCAAGCGTCTCAAGTAGACAATCCTCTGAAGACAGCGCAAGCGCGCGTGGAGGTGGAGGTACTGGACCTCAACGACAACCTCCCGAACTTCGAGGTAGACTTCTACAACATTAGCATTGTGGAGAACTTGCCTAATGGTATGAATTCATTTTTATATTTTTTATTATTTTAATTTTTACATTAAAATTTAAAATTACTAAGACTATCCTTGAATTTTGTAAAAAAAAATTTTTATAAAAAAAATAATAATATTTTTTTGTAACTTATTGGTATCAATCCGGACATTATATTATAATAATAGCAAATACGTAGATCAGCGTTGTGAGAACTGAAGATTAAAAGTATAATGCGTACAACATAGTACCTTATTTTTTTGAATAAATATATTTATAGATAATAAAGAAAATTACAAATATACTTAATTACAAGTTTATATACAAAACAAATGTACCCTTAACTAATATTGTACAACTAATGTCTGAAACCCCGTTGAAGGGCAATGCCGATTCCTTGGGCGAAAAACCAGCCAACTCTCGTCACCAGTAGAGGCCATAAGACGAGGTTTTATGTATTATAAGAAATGTTTAGCATTTTGATTTCATGGGCCAAGGGTTTCTATAGCAAAGGGTATAAAAACATGGTATTTATAAATATAAATAAAGTAACTCATTACCATAACACAAGTAACACCCCGCAGGCTTCAGCGTGCTGCAGGTGATGGCGGCGGACCGCGACCAGGGAGACAACGCCGCCTTCTCGTACGAGCTGCGCGACGCGTCCGGCGCCTTCGCCGTCGACGCGCGCTCCGGCTGGCTCACCGTGCGGGACCAGGTACGGGGCTGGGTGTGGGATCAGGTCATAGTCCACCACGCTGTCCAAGTGCGGGCGGAATGATTGTCTTTATAAACTTGTTAAATTCTCTCAGACAGTCTTCGTCACGGTGTTTTCGTTCTCCGTAAGATAAGTGGTAATCATGTCGGATATGATTTGCACCTGAAAGTATCACATTGTTGTGAGGTTCAATTTAATTCTCTTCATATTTTTTTTATTTTACCGAATATTTAACATTTTTAATAAAAGTATCTTTTTGGATTTTGTTGCGGATTTATTTTGAATTTTGGTTCCCGACGATTCGAATGCAATCACGTTCACGAGAAAGATTGGTCTCTCTTTCTTCAAAATGTGTAATTAGCTTGTTAATGGCTGCAAAACGTGGCAGTTAAGCACAGATTACTTCGTCAGGGTCACATAATGGAGAATACACGATGAAGATTTATCTCGTCTTTCATCGTTCATCGTTTTTCATCTATTTACCGAGTTAACATATTTTGTGTTAAGCTTAATCACACTGCATGCGTAAATGCGAAAATGTTACCTTAACGCTGAAACGACTGAATGGGCTTAGATAAAATTCACTTATATAGAGACTGACTTAAGCGAAACGAATCTCATTTAATAGTATATAAAATAATAAAATTATATAAATTATTTCTTAATTTCAGACCGTATTAGATAGAGAACAACATTCCTCATTACGAATGAAAGTGTACGCAAAGGAAAAAATACCAAGCGTCATCAGCACTTTCACAGACAACCGATTAACAAAATGGCGTCGTCCTCACAAAGAGAAAACCACCTATATATTCCCAGACAAATCAGCCAGCAACGAAAACATAGAAATAGTAGATACAAACCAAATAATGTCATTCGTTACAGTCGAAGTGACTTTGCTGGATGCGAACGACAATAACCCTGTTTTTATACCGAGTAACTTGTACGAGTTTACAGTTAGATATGATACACCAATAAATAGTGAAATAGGGAAGGTTGAAGCAGTTGATCCGGATTTAGGTCGGAATGGGCTAGTTTTGTATGATTTGCAAAGGACGAGTAACTTGACTGTGACGTCGCCCTTTGCGATTGAAGCGAAGACTGGGATAGTGAGGGTTGTGGAAAGTCCTTTGTTAGAGGGAAGGTATGCCCTGTTCGTGGAAGCCGCAGACTCTCCCTTGAATCCTAGTGAAAGGAGATATTCTTTGGCAGTTGTTACTATTGATGTTGTCGGCGATTCTAAAGGTTGGTTGATGTTATTTTTTGAATGATATAATAATAGATTTTTTTGTTTAAAAATTAACTTAGATTTAGGTAATATCAAAAGTTTGATTTAATTAGTATAATAAAATGCAGCTATTACTTCATTTCGTTAATTACAACATTAACTTTCATCATCATTATCATCATAATCAGTCTGCTTTCGTCCACTGCTGGGTATAGGCCTCTCCTATGATATATTAACCTTATGTCTTTTCTGTTACTTTCCGGTTTTTTATATTACTATTATAACGTAAATAACGAAACACAATCTCTTAAGAATGGTTAATTCACTTTATAATTAAACTCCAACCCCGTAACCCCGCTTTATTTGATTTTCTATTAACAAATCAGTAACAATAATGTGCATATGATATTAAAGTTAGGGTTATTATTGTATCACTCTATTTATGAAAGGTACCAGTTTTTAAAAGACAAAAAAAGGATGAGTTTCTTCATTTGACTTGCTCTGCCAACGGTCGTGGGTTCTTCTGAGGGCATTCATTTGTATAATGGGCACGAATGTATGTACTCCAGTCATGGGTGTTTATATTTATAATATCTATATATTTACAGTTATATATATGTAGCGTATCAACTATCTGGTATCCATAACACAAGCCTTGTAGTTTACCATGGAACTAGATGGTGCTGTGTGTTAATGTGTCATATTTATTTATTTTATGTATCTTTATCTTACCTCCACGCAGTGGATACGCCGTCGTTCCTGGGCGCGCCGTACGAGTTCTGGGTGGGGGCGAGTGCGGGCGTCGGCGCCAGCGTCGGACAACTGCGGCTGCGGGCGGCGGCGGCGGCCGGCGTCACTTACGACCTGCTGCACTCGTACGAGGAAGGCGGTGAGGGGATCTCATACTTCTCTATCATTTGCACGAATTTTACTTCCACACAAACATACATACTATATATAAGGGTAATAATTATAGGGTGGAGCAAAAGGGTTTTTCGGTTTGTATGGATTTTTTTTTCAACTGATCATATTTAAAAATATCTAAGAATTGACGAGTATAATCATTTTCTACCTAACTTTCACCGTAATATTGCATTATTGCAATTTAAAAAAAAGTTGAAAAAATAACATGTTACTTTTTTGTGTTATACAATAAATTTTCTTCAATATTATGTTTTAATGAGCCTAAATAGAGATATAGGATTTTTTTTATCAATAAGTGGAACCGTTAATAGTATAGAGAAATTTATATACAACATGGAAAATGTAGACTTTGTTCAAGTCAAATGAATATTTAATAACACGTCATTTAAATTCCATATAATTTATTATTACCTAAAAATTAATTTCCAGTACCATTCGCAGTAGAGGAAAGGTCGGGAGTAATTACAGTAATAGACGAACTGTCCAAGTTCGACCGACCGCTGTACGACTTCGAAGCAGTCGCCATAATAGAAAATAGAAACATGACAATAACAACCAATGCTACCGTCCACGTGGTCGATGTGAACGACGAGAGAGGTGTTTTTTTGAAGTAATTATTTTATATTTTATACAATAAGTCGTTCATTAGATTCTCAATAACACTGTTTTCTTTTTTCAGAGGAACGCATTCACCTTTTGTGTTTCACGTCAAAGAGAATCTAGCCGGAGCGACTATTGGACATATATTCCCAGTAAATGGCAGTTCGTTTTCAAATAACAGTGGAAATATTAAATTCATTATCGCAAACCAACAAGATGTTGCGAACGAAATTACTATTGGTAAGAATTTTAATAATTGTTTATAAGACTGTATTATAATAGTTAATATACAATTCAAATGTTGTTTCCGCGCCTCTTGATATTTAATGGCAATGTTGATTTTCTTATAACTTCCTACCGCAAATTATTTTTCTTTCTACCGATCTTCCTTCTCTGTAAAATGACCTCGAATAAATGATTACGTGTTTGTAATTAATACATTTCTTTTTCTTCATCTTCATCACCTTAAATCTGTTAATTCAAATACAATAATAAATACGAGTATGTAGTAATCTTATTCTCTTAGGTCAGTCACTACTATTATCATATCAACATAGTAATCTAAATATGACAATCGTTTATCAAAACTGATTACATTTATTAATTTAATTTTGTTTACAGGTCCTGATGGTACTATCTATACGCAGAAAGCTCTAGATAGAGAAAAACGAGATATGTACAGAATGACAGTCATTGCTGAATTCAATAAAGGAGTTATATCAGGAGCTGGATTATATCAAATCACTGTACACGTTGACGACGATAACGATAATCCGCCGATATTCGATATGCCAGTGTATGAAGGTTTCATTACAGAAAATTCTAAAACAGGGACAGAAGTTAAAATGACTCATAGAATTCAAGCAAATGATGCCGATTTAGACCAAAATGCTGTATTTATGTACACTCTCTTTGGAGATGGACACGATCAGTTTAATGTTAACGAAGAAACTGGAGTAGTTACTTATATAGGAAATAAATTAGACCGAGAAGAAAAAAGTGTGTATTTGCTAAAAATTGTCGCGAGGGACAAAGGCAGTTTAAAATCAGAAGCGAAATTGACAATAACAATCTTAGATGAGAATGACAACCATCCCAAATTTAATCAAATTTTGATTCCATTTGGCGAACCGATAGAACTTTTAGAAGTAGATGAAAACACATCCATCAACATTTATAGTGAAAAAATGAATAACTCTACGGGTGCTGTGTTGAAAGTAGAAGCTAAACCGAAAGATAAATTTGCTGCCACTAACTCTCCTTTATTCTTAGTGCCAGAGAGTATTGCAATTGGGACAACTATTTTGAAGTTAGAAGCAATAGATATGGATACTGGTGTAAATGGGCAAGTTAGATACGAATTCGTATCAGAAATTTTCATGCCTCCTTATGCGGGGCTAGCGAGCGCCTCACAAGTGAAGCGATATTTCGTTATCAATGAAAGATATGGCCACATAGTTGTTGCAAGAGCTTTACCTCCTGAATCCGAATTTCGACTGAATATTTCCGCTTTAGATGGCGGAGAATTAAGTGACTTTATAACTATTAGGTTATTTATAAAGGACGTTAATGATCACTTTCCAATGTTCAAGAAATCCTGGTATAATTTCAATGTAGAGGAAGCTCAATATAGTAGACGAGTTTTGGGTAAAGTAGACGCAACCGATGCTGATTTTGGCCAAAATGCTAATTTAACATATTTCTTACAACCTTCAAGTAAAGATATTCCATTTGAAATATCGCCTTTGAATGGTGTTTTAAGTGTTAACGGTGTGTTAGATAGAGAAAAGGAAGATAAGTATACGTTAACTGTTGTGGCTCGGGATAACGGGTTTGAGAAAAAGCTATCTTCTTCGGTTAGTGTAGAAATTCAAGTTTTAGACGTAAACGATAATGCTCCAAAATTTTTCGCATACGACGAACTATTGGAATGGAAACATCCGGAAGCACATGAACTTTCAAATCACAATTTCGATTCAGTTATGATGTTACCAGTATATAAAGCTGTTTTGGAAGAAAATACACCAATCGGCACAGTTGTAACCAGAGTATACGCAAACGACTCAGATTTTATTGGAAATGGCAACGGTTTGATACTTTATAGTTTGCCACAAAGAAAGAATCAGTTAAACATATTTAGTATTGATTCGAAAGAAGGTATTATAACGACAACTACGAGATTAGATTATGAAAGTCAGAAAATACATAACATAACTGTTGTAGCGTCTGACTTAGGGTCACCAAGTTTAAGCTCAACAGCTATAGTTATGTTAACAGTTAAAGATATACCGGACGATGTTGAAGTATCAGACAAACCAGTGTTCATAAGCCGTTATTACGAATTGGAAATAGAAGAAAACGTACGCACCCCCGTCGAACTAGTGACATTGAATTTGACAGAATATTATGAGAATTTCAAAATGAAATATTACATTTTGAATGAAAACGATACAGATATTAAGAAAACATTTGTTATAGACCCTCGGAATGGAACATTGTATTTGATTAAAAGTCCCGATCGGGAGGTGAGAGAGCTTTATGAGATAACAGTTAGAGCGGAAAGACAAAAAATAAGTCGAGAGCTTCCACATATGATCTATCCGGTTCCTGATGACGTTTTTGAAGGAATGACAAAGTTTGATGTGAAAGTCGTTGTGAGAATTAAAGATGTGAATGATAATGCTCCCAAGTTCGTAACCGGCGGCCGACCGGTAGTCACTGCCATTCCTACAAACGCTCCCTTCGGATATGAAGTTATTCAATTACAGGTAATATAAATCCTCCTTTCTTTTAATATTCTGTATCGAATTGTTCTTATGATGGATTTAGGATTAAGTCTTTTTATCATGAATTGCATATATTTCGATGTAAACGTTCCACACTCGTCAATTATGCAATACTTATATCTAATTTCTCGCTCGTTTACGCTTTTTACCTTTTTTCCTCACGAACACACTGACTTTTTTAAATTAAATTGACGACTGAAAAGTATTTGTATTATGAAAGAAAATGAAAAAAGAAAGAAATAAAAGATGTAAAGAAAAAGCCGCCTTCCTTAATTAGTATGAAAATTCAAATTTTGGACATAAAGGCCCCAAAATTTTTCGCATACGGTGAGCAGCTATTGGATTTGAAACATTTAGAAGAACATGAATTGTCAAATCACACTTTCTTGTTAACTTACACATTGACTACACTGATTTTTTTCAATTAAATTGACGTTTTTTATAGGTTATTTGTATAGGTTTAATCGAATAGTATCACTTCACTTAACCCCACTTCACTTCACATGATATCACTCCATTCCAGGCGACAGACGCGGACGCGGGCCTCAACGCGGACATCCGCTACTCGCTGGTGTCGGCGGGCGGCGCGCCCTTCAGCGTGGACGCGCGCAGCGGCACCGTGCGGCTCGCGGGGGCGGCGGGCGGCGCGGGGGCGGGCGCGGGCGCGGGGGGCGCGGGGCAGGTGCTCGGCTTCGACGTGAAGGCGACGGACCGCGCCGGAGCCGACGACGGACGCTCGGCCATTGTCAACGTGTTTGTGAGTTTACGATCGCTTGTTTTATTGATTCTTTGAATCGATCAATAAAAATATATCATCAAACAAAACACACAGTTATTCTTATCATGCTTTTAAAGTTAAAAACATTATTAAATTAATTTTAATTAATTTTTTATAATGTTTTTTATTAAATAGGTGTTCTGGTTAAAAATATGGCATTTAAAAATCGAATAATTAATACTTTTGTAGCTTCTAAAATCAACTTAGTTTCTTTTCGTAATAAGTAGCTTATGTAAAATATTTAGCACCAAATATTATTTTTGTCTTATACTTATAGTACGATAAATAAATCATTATTATTATTATTCTTAAAATGATTTCTAGTTAGTGTATTGCTTACATTAAAATTTATTTAAAATTAAAAGTAAATTTAAATTTTTTTCTTTACTAAGCAGCACAGATATTTATCCTTTTCAAACTCAACCGTCCCGCAGGTGTACATATGTCTTAGCGGAGAGCCAGCAGCTCTATTTATTTAATTTTTACATAACTGGTCTATGTTTCGCTCCATGTATTGTCTTTATATGGTACAATATATAAATCACTATAATCGTTTGAAAATGATTTCGAATTAACTTTAAAAAACCAAAACTATATTTAATTAGAAATAAAGATAAATTGGATTTTACATTTTTATATCAATTTAAAATTACTGTATTAAAAACTGAGACTAAGGAAAGCAAAAAATATATCTTTTGTATCGTTGGGAAATGCATTTACGCTCCCACGGTCCACTCTGCTGTCAGAGAAGTACCAGAAGCAGCCCGCACTGCCATGTCCCGCCCGTGCCCGCAGGTGTACGTGCTGGCGGAGAGCCAGCAGCTGGTGGTGTCGCTGCGCGGCGCGGCGCGCGCGGCGGCGGCGCGGCGCGCGGCGCTGCGGGCGGCGCTGGCGGCGGCCGCGGCGCTCGACGTGCGCGTGCGGCGCCTGCAGCCCGGCGCCGCGCCCGACCAGTGAGTTGCATATATATTATCACTAGGGAAACGACCCACTCGCTCCGCTCGGGTTTGTCTCTACTTACGTTTTAACGTTTAGTATAGATTTCTCAGAGATGAGATATTTTCCCGCAGTAAAAAGTATTTTATATGTTGACCCGGATACCAGCTATCATCATACTACACTTCATCAAAATTCTTCTAGTGGTTTTTCCGTGATGCGGTCTCTGTATCAATAATAATATCTATTTCAATAAGATTTTCCAAAAAATATTGAATTGACAGATTCGGCATAGTTAGAATTCTATAATATGTATCATTCGTTTGTTTTTTTTTGCTTTAAACTAGAGTCCGTTACTAATGCCGCCTTTATATTTTTCATTCCGTTTTTGCTTTTTTCTTTAAACCTATGTTCTGCCGATTTTCAAGTAACACAGACAATTTTAAAGGTTTTGGAACTTAAAAAGGAAAGGGATCCCTTATAAGATATCTTCGTTGTCCGTCTGTCAAGGGTTTTTTTCTTAGGATCGTGTGGAACTCTCAAGTTGAAATTAACATAAAATATTCAAGTTTGCAATCCTTTAATTTTTCCTTGACTCAAATGAATATTTTCAATGAAAGATGAGGGCAAAAGTTCGATAGTGGAACTCTTCAACAGCTACTAAGAATAAATACTTTGAGTTTTGACTTATTAAGTTTAATCTATCTAGGGTATGTTTTTTATAAAAAAATTTGGCGATGGTCACACCGCGGTTGGTTTAACGTGAAACGACTATTTCAGCGAGTCTCTTTCAGTGTTTTTGTTTTTTATAAATATTTTGCATATTTGGAAGCAAATTAATAAAAAAAGTAATCTTTAAAGATAGCAATTGAAAGAGTATCATATAACATGTATATATATATATATATATATATATATATATATATATATATATATATATATATATATATATATATCATTTGTCATACAATAACAGCGGTTACCATGACAACCTAATGCAACCTATTTCGTTACGGTCCACTCTTCTGCCCTGGTACCCGTATGTTTCGGTGTGATTTTAAAGACGTTTCACGTCAAAAGTATTATATGTACTAAAGTAGATATAACACGTACTTTCTATTATATACTATATACATATGTAACTGTATTCGATAATTTTATAAATCAGCGTATTGAATAAAATTTGCAAAAGATGTAGCTAGTTATTATGCTTATGTGGCATACTTAAAAGCCATTAACAAGACTATTGAATTAATTTGTGACTTCCATTTTTGCTGATTGCTCAAAAAAAGGTATCTTACTTATATCATCGACGACACATTTGGATCAGTGATATTACTTGCTGTGCCAGCGATTGCGGGTTCGAGTCCCGCTGAGGGCATTCATTTGTGTGATGAGCACGATTGTTTGTACTCCAATCTTGAGTGTTTATATTTATAATATGTAGGTAGATATTTGAAGTTATATATGTGTAGTGTATCAACTATCTGATATCTATAACACAAGCCTCACAGCTTACCATGAAACTAGATGGTGCTATGTTAATGTCCCAACATATTTATTTATTATTATACATCTAATATATAAAATTTCCATGTCACAATGTTTGTTACCGTACTCCTCCGAAACGGCTTCACCGATTTTTACCAAATTTTATATGCGTATTCAGTAGGTCTGAGAATCGGTTACTATCTATTTTCCATACCCCTAAGTGATAAGGGTGGTCCACCCCAAAAAAAAATGTTATTCGGCATTAAAAAATACATACAAACCTAAATTTTCATTATTATAGTATCCATACGAAATGGATTGGTATTTCATTACCAAGTAGACTATTTTTATAAGCTAAGTACAAGAAAATACATTAAGAACTATACCTGAATTGGAAATTCTATTGAACTCTTGTATTCAATGTACACTATATATAAAAGTTCTTTATAGAAGCAATAGCTTACCTATTGGAGCAAGAAGTAAAGTGAAAGAAATGTACTTAGCCGAAGTTGTCGATACAGATTTTATTGTTTACATTCGCACTAGGATACAAATAAAATGAGATAAATAACTTCTATAGAACACACACACCATCGCTTCGCTCGGGTTCATCCCTAGACAAAATCAAATGTATCCCACGGAAACCGTTAATTTTTCTAGGATAAAAAGTAACTTAAGTGCTTTCAAAACTATAATCTATCTCTGTGCTAAATTTCATTCAAATCCGTTCAACCGTTCTGGCGTGATTGAGTAACAAACATTCATCCATTCAAACTTTCGCATTTATTTTGGGATTTAATTTCATCGCTAACAAAATCAACATTAATAATATGTTATTAAATAAAAATTTCAATTGTTAATATTAATGATAATTATCAAAAATAACATAATGTTATAATTTTAAAAAAATAATAATGACAATTATCATAATTAGCAAATATATGTCAAAGAAATAAATTACATAATGAATAACCATTCAAAGAAGGGATACGAAAATATTCTGGACGTCAAAGCCAGAAAAAACAAACAGCACAAACAAAGCAAAAGCTACTTATTATTATATATTTTAGAAGAAAAATATTTATGCACGGAAAGGATTTTAATTTCCAATAACCGATAGGAAATTTCTACCTAAAAATCGTGTAAATCATAACATGTCGTTCCAATATCATTTTACGTTTGCGTGCTTTCATGATATATACTTTATGGAAAATTATCTGTAGTCAAATTCTAACTTGCGTAGAATTTGGCCCATTATTATAAATACCTTTACACGTTTGGTTTATTTATTTTTTACTAAGTATAAAGAAAGAAGAAGAAGATAAATAAATATATTAGGACATTAACACACAGCATAATCTAGTTCCATCGTAAGCTACAAGGCTTGTGTTATGGATACAAGATAGTTAATACACTACACATATATAACTTTAAATATATACATATTATAAATATAAACACCCATGACTGGAGTACAAACTTTCGTGCTCATCACACAAATGAATGCCCCCAGCGGGATTCGAACCCGCGACGACGACGACGAAGATTGTTATTACTAAATCGTGATACGTGCACTCTTGCATGCTGATTGTATATTTTTTGCTCTAATGAGAATCTAAAAAAACATAATTTCTAAGGAAAAATCAATTATTCGAAATAGTTAGACAGATAGGCTTAATCTAAAATTATATAGTCAAGTTATTTTGTTAATTTACAATATTTTAAACCGACATGTATGGCTCATGCGTGAAAAGTGTAGTAGTAAAATAAAATTATACTATGTAAGGTAATGGAGGTTTGCAATATCAATGTATGTACATATATGTATCCGTAGAATTTATGTTCGTTATCTATATGTATAGGATATTCCGGCATAAAACAACTCGGAAAATTCTATCAAAAGTGTTATAACGAAATTTTCTAAGTATTTTTCATTTACATTGTTTCAGGACGGATCTATATATTTACGCGGTGGACCCCGTTTCCAACTCGATTGTTGACATGGAAGTTCTACATAAGTAAGTCATAAATCAAGCCACATATTAATATTAATAGTTTTTATCCTTTCTTTGTCGAAACGTCCATGAAAAGTGCTGCGTTAATCCACCATATAAGCCTTCTCCGTACCCAATTTTATCTAAATCTGCTGGGACGTTACGGCGTGAAGAAATATAATAAATAATATTATAGTATCCCTAGTTACGTTTTAAAGTTTAGTATAGATTTCTCAGAGATGAGATACTTTCCCGCAATAAAAATTAACCTATATGTTCACCCGGATAACCAGCTATCATCATATCAAATTTCATCAAAATCTGTCAAGTGGTTTTCCCGTAATTCGTTCCCAGACAGACAGAATTTCTAAAAACTAGATAATGACTAGTTCAATAAGAGATAGAAAAAATGTACAATAAATTTATTTTGTTCAATTGTATGGTTAATCATTATAATTAAAAAAAAAACAATAAAGTTTTTAGAGTTTATAAAACCTTCTTCTCTATAATCTTCGACGGAACACGAAAATTGAATGAATTAAGAAGGAAAACTATTTTAAGAAATTAATAGTAATTTTTGGTTAGGTGAATAAAGCCCGAGATGAAACCCAATGAGATGACCCATGAAGTAATACCACTTTTGTACGATAATATACTGTTTGTTTATTTGGGGTTACGTTGTTCCTATTTATATATAGATAAATTGCTATAATGGGGCCGTCGACGGATATATCCATCTCATATCTTATTATCTTTACTATTACTAAAAATACGAAAGTGTATTTGTAGGTTTGTGTGTTTATTTTCTTTTCCGAGTAACAGGAAAGAATCTATGTTATATTTTGCATGAAAATTGGCAACGGACCAGAGTTGATTGCATGAAACCATTAGAGATACGCTTGAAATAAGTAAAGGAATTTTACTAATAATACTTTCTTAGATATACGCGAATACTTGACATTTTAAATAAAACTAATACTATATAATAATGGCAACACTAAAAATGTAGATTGATATTTAATATTTTTAAAATTGTAATAATTATAATAATAACAGCTCAAATTAAATAAATAATATTCCATATTCAATAATAAAATTAATTAAAATTATATAAAAATGTTTAAAGTTAAAAGTTAAAAAATTGTAAGGTGTTGATGCCATTTTTCAATTTTTGAATTCATTTTGTTAACTGTGGGTAGGCTGTCTGTAACAACTATATAATACCTTAGAAACATCTAACATCTCAGTCTCTCCCGTGACCGTGATTGCTGTAAAGCATTCGAAACGTCGGGAAACAAAAATCAAAATAAATGCGCGAAAAAATCCGAAAAGGAATGTTACTAGTTATGTTATTAAAAGCGACTTACGTCGTTACGCTTCGTCTCTAGGTGCTTAAATACGCCTAACAGAAGCTTATGTGTTACTCCAGCTAATAATCTATCTGTATGCTAAATTTCATCAAAATTTGTCTAGTGCGTAAAGGAGTAACCAAGATATAAACAAAATTTCACCTTTACTTTTTTATATTTATCTATTAAGATCTATTAGCAATTTTACAATTATTTCATACATTTATAAACATCGTGGATAGCATTGGTAAATTGTAAATCTATATTTACGTTAACATGATAAGGAAACTTCAGAAAAACAAAACAGAGAAAAAATATACATAAAAATTAATATATATTTGCTATACACTCAAAAGTTGCCCGAAAGAAATGGCTGTTCTAGCGATAAGGCCGCCTCTTGTGCAGTTATTTATATATAAGCACCTACCACTGTATTTTTCTTTTTTTGAGTTATATAAAGAGTTTTTACTATTATTATGTTGGTACCTGTTCGGATTTCACGGGCTCAAAGGAGCCCGGTGCTTTGGAAGGTTTGCGTGGGTACACATCTCCAACAAGTATAGGCCCCATAAGAGATTCAAGTTTTTTTAATGTGACGCATCAGCCGGGATCCATCTCTGAGTAACCTATACGGAAACTCTCAAAGGTGGTCTCCGGATAATATGTATGACTATGTGAAATATGGGAAACTAATTAAGTCTATGGAATAGATAGACGGGCTACAAGTCTATTGAATGACACTACCGGACGTCTGCCTTCTCAACAGTTAAGTTAATAGTTAGTTAGTCAATATTGATCCTTAGGTAGACGGTGACTCGTCCCCCACTAGATGCATATCAGCATGGTCGGCTTATTATTATTATTATAACAGTTATCAATATGTCTATAGAGCTCTTCTGAAGCAAGAAGGCTTCCTGCGTGGGGAGCTGGCGGGCTTCCCGGTGCTGGGCGTGGGCGGCGCGCGCGCGGCGCCGGCGCGGCGCGCGCTCGGCTCCATGGAGCTGAGCGTGGTCGCGCTCGGCTGCCTGGTGTTCGTGGGCGCCTGCGCCGCCGCCTTCTGCATACTGTGCGTGAGGAAGACTCGCAGGTGACATATTGTTTTAGTTTATATATGTGTTAAGTTAAGAAAGTTGTCTACATCTACATCTACAAATAACTATTACAAAGAGAAAAGATTTGTGTGTTTTGTAGGTTTGAAATGAATAAACTCAAAAACTACTAGACCGTTTTTGATGAAATTTAGTAAGAAGATAGTTTGGGACCCTGGAAAGAATATAGGATATTTTTATTTTAGAAATCATCTCTTAAAGGGGTGAATATGGGGATGAAAGTTTGTATGGGGAACCAACCTAAAATTATATTATATTTTTGAACTTTACTAATGAATTCAATGTACAAATAGTAGGATAGCAAAGAATACGTATAGCCTTTATACTACCCGGAAAATAATAACGAATCGATTGACACCTCATTATACTCACAATAATAATTATATTGAAATAAAAATCACTATCATTAAGGCTGTTATTACTGCGGCAGAGTATTTGGAACTATATTTTATCTTAAATATGATTAAAATAAAACGCTGACAACAAACGTAGAAGTTAGTATATTAAAATCGTATTTTAAAATCAACTTTAAAAATGATACATATTATTGTCTTTAAGTGACAATTTTAGTGAGTTATCTTTAAAGAAATTAAAATCTACAAATCATCGTAAGATTTTCAACCGTGATAAAACCCTCAAAAGTTGGAGCCAACGAAACGTTGCCATAAAAAGTTTAAAATTAATTAAGATTAGCATCATTTGCAATCCCTTTGCTAGATTATTTCATAAGTTCATATTAAGTCGCGTCTCCTGAGGGTAAGCGATATTTTTTTTTACATATTTCAGACACCATCATCACCACAAAAGAAAGCATACACGTCACTATTAGACTAGAATCTATCAAAAAATATTATGAGACTGTTATTTATTGAAATAAATAATTAAAAAATCATTATTGTTTGACTAAACCCAATCCTCATCTTAATCTTTCTTTCTTGAATAACCACCAGTTCTCTATATCTTTGCCCTGACAGAAACCGTCACAAACCATTTTCCCAACAACGTCTAACCGCTTTCTCGACTGACCTAACTAAATTCGGAGGTCTTTTCCCGTCCGGGAACAATCAGTGTCAGGAACTGAACCACTCCTTCAGCGAAGACTCCTACATAGACGTGGTGAATCAGACGATGAAGAAGACCTGCCCTCACACCGCCGTCGAGGAGTTCGGGAAAGTTCACCAGAAATGTGTGAAGGGACAATTCGCGGATATCAACGGGAAGGAAAAACATGAGCGATTGTGTATCAAGTTCAATCAACGACCGATGCAGAAAAGGTGAGATACTTTTTTTTGTTTTGTTTGCTTTAGTTTATTCTGTGTTTGATATTAGTTTTCTCAAACTTACAAAATAAATTATTAGTATTTTTTTGTACTATATAATTATAGAGGATTGGACGTAGTGCTCGGAAGCATTTGATAGATAGATGTAAGTGATTGATAGTTGCTTTTTTTGGTTCCTTGTTTAAATTCATTTTGAAATAGGTGTATGCTTAACATCTATATACAGTAAAATGTTAATAATAAGAGGTACATGTTATTATATTGGTCGTATATTCGCTTTGTTTCCTTCTGGAGAGTCAATTTTATAAATATATAGCACGATCACATTTAATCAAATCACAACATATTTAAAAAAAAAACAGTCATAAAAACTGTCGACAGAAGTGGAACTTAAAACTATAAACAAACAGTTGTTATTTTGATTAAAATTAAAATTTGCAAATTAAAACTGTTTACATTTATCTGGTTTTAACATCTATCGGCACTCTGAGCGTTAGCGTTAATACGTCACGTGACCATGTCGATGACCACTTACATGAATTTACTCCAAACCTGCATATAGAAATTTTCACTTCAAAAAACTACATCTGGTAAACTTTTTAATCACATCAGAAGTTTACAATCATCATTCATTATAACATCAAGAATTGCCTAAAACATCCACAATACCATAACAAAGTGGAACCCTTAGATCCTAATACAATATATACACCGCACGCCTCACACACGCGCCCGCAGGAAGGACCCATCGCTAACGTCCGTCACTTCCAGCGGCCGCGACTCCGGCATCGAGCGCTGCGCCTGCGGCCGCGCCGACATGCACGCGGAGGAGAGCAGCGGGTGAGCGCTTACTACTGACTTGCTCGCTATTACTTCAATTATACATAATTTCATTGTATTTACAAGCTTTTGCTTAGTTTTCAATCATCAAATCTTACAACTGAATTTTAAAGTAATTATCCTCAACCGATTGAGTTGATGCATTAACGTTTAGTTTGGATGACAATGTAGGTTAGCTCTTATAACGGACTCCTAAAGATGACCATGTTTTGTTTTATACACCCCCATGATATGGATATCAAATGAAAGGGTTTGCTGAAAAGAATATGGATAACTTAAAAATAAAAAAAATATTGTAAATTTTTTAATTATGTATTACCTCACATGTATTGTCTGTTTTTTGGTCTTTTTAGGAAAAAAATGACACCTCTCCGTCTATTGGTCAAACTCACTCACTTACGTCTATTAAACTCCGTTTTCTCAAGAAGTGTAGAGATCTCAAGTTGAAATTAATTTCAAATATTAATCCCTCAACGATCCCGAACACGCCGGCGTTACAGTTGACAATAGATTTCTTAGAAATTTAATTAATTAATTTTTTAGAAATTTACCTGGAGGTGTTAAGGTCTACGTTATTTACAGTTGTATACAAAATCAAACTTCTATGTCAAGGCGATAAAATATATGACCATATATGCTGCTGACAGTCGAAAGTAAATCAAAATTTATGGGATACTTCCTATTGAATCATGAGCAAGAAGGAAAGCTTACCATAAGTTAATAGCAAAAAGGCAAAATCGTTAGTCTGCCAATAATTTTGCAATAATTTCAACTTTCCATTAAAACACTTGTCACAAAAGTTTTATCTGTATGTCACAGCCATTTTATTAGGAGATTAGTGAGTTTGTACTATGATTACTTGTTGTAAACTTATTTTCATAATGATATGTTTGTATTTATTTAAAAATCATCATAATTCATTATAATATTTTTACTTTAGCAATTATTATGTTTTCCAAACAGCTGTAGCTACGAGGATTCACTGAAATCCAACCACCAAATCAGAAAGCCACGAACCGACCAACGTTTTATCCGTCGGGCTTCCTTCAACCACCAGTCCCTGGACCCGCGCAAGTACTCCCACAGGAGACAATCCTTCTCCGAAAACATACAAAAACATTTCCCATTCGAGAGAATAGGCTCAGTCCCTCACATACCGTCTAATTCATATTTCTTAAGGAAATCTAGAAATGATGTCAGCGAGCCGGTGATTGATTATGAACATAGTGAAATAGATGACGTGTTTGATACTAGAGTGCGGGACAGAGCGGGTTTTACGGGAAAGGAGCGGGATAGAATGGTGTTTTCCCGGCCCTTATAGCGTTATAGGGAATGATGGATTATATGAAGAAGCGTGTTAATTGATTATTCAAAGGAATTGACAGAGAAATGATATCAACCATCTTTTAAAAAGCTTTAAGGTTATTATAATTTTATTTGCTATATTTTTTGTTACTTTAAATGTTTATTTTAATGTTTTTTTTTGTTGATTGTAAATCTTTAAAATCTGTTTTAAGGTTAGGATTGTATTATTATTATAAAAAATGCCTACCGATGTACATACAAAATCTTTTAGGTATATCATAGTATTTAATATGTAAATAAATTGTGATAAGAAGTAGCGATACTATGTATTTATGTAAATAGATAATAAAGAATCAGAATAATTTTCTTCCCATGCTTTCTATTTCCTCATTCAGGACTCAAACCCCATAACTTGATGGTGATTTTCCTTACTTAGTGAATAATAGCTGATGTGAGTAAAACTTTTTTGTTTTATTATATCTGTTTCTATCCAACTAAACCTACTTACTTTAATTCGTGCCATTTGGAAATATTTCAACCTATACATTATTATACCGATACTAAAAGAAAAGTGATAAATTCTCAATATTTTTTAGCATCCTTAAACGAAGCACTTACAGAATTAAATTTGTTACTGTTTTGTTTTAAACTAAATTTACACTGAGAAATTTTGTTCATTCTGAAATGAATTTTATGAAAATAGTCTTGAAACTTATTTCATATCTACTCAGTGTTACACAAATCTTCAGGACAATTCATTGGAAAGTAATACACAGCACTAGCTCCACATTTTATTTTTTACGATATAATAACACAAAATGTATGGAAAATATACAAAATTATTATAATTTAGCTAAATCTGAAATTTCAAAATTGAAGATTATTCGAGAAAACCTATTGAAATTAATGTTATAATAATTTCACAATGTAAATTAAGGCTAATATTTTTATGCTACGAAAATCGTGGAGAAAATTGGACATACATAATACATACATAATATTTTATATATTGATCTTTTACATACATAATATTTTATATATTTTCTTTTAATTGTCAAAAATTTACAGAATTTGTATAATAAATGTTATCTGTATTATATTGATATAAACTTAAAAAATCACTAAGTTTTCTTGGCTTGTGAAAAAGAAATTAATATATTAAATATTTTATATATATTTTCTAGTGAAAAATGTACTAAATGTTATAAAGTGTATTAAAATATTAATAAACGAAAATCTTAGTATAAACTTACCACCTTCGTAGTATTATATTCTCGTAATAATAATATTTAATTGTAAATGTTTTTTATTTAATAATAATGTGAATACAACTTGGAATATTTATGTTTGTTTTATTTTTTTAATTTATGAAAAAAAAAACTTTGCAGTATCTAAAACTTTCTGTATATTCTTATAAAGTTTAATAAAGTCTGCTCGACAGATTTCAGTTACAGCGGTCGATTTTCAATATGGATTAGCCAAATTCAACCGGTCGCGAGAATATATTATATGCTTTATATATTTATCTTTATATATTAATACATGGGTGAACCCAGCTATACCAATATTATGAAGAGGAAAAATTTTATATGTTAAAAGTTTTTTTTTTGTAGACAATAAACTTTAAAACTACAGCTTTCATTGCGAACTCCTTTTGAAAAAACAATGGTTTTTGCAGCATATAATATAACCATAGCGTAAGAGATAATAAAAAATGAACAAAACATATGTAAGGTTATTATTATACATATAAAATAAATCAAACTATTCGTCAAATGTTACTAAAAATATATCAGTCGATTTCCATATCCATGAAAGAATCTATGGGAGACAGCAGAAATAAGCACAAAAACAAACATTTAGCTAATATATAGAGCTATTCCAGATGTGACTGAGTTATTGTTTAACATAAATAATGTGAACAGAGTATAAATACATCCGTTCGATACTCAGAATATGTAAAAAAATATGGTAGCAACACTTTTGTACGGATTGGAGTTACGCTTGATACGTAAGATTGTATAAAATAATATCGTTTTGATAGTATTTCTATATTTAGGTGTTCCAACATTGGATTACTATTATATATTTATAATATGTATGTATTTAAAGTTATATATGTGTAGTGTATCAACTATCTGGTATCCATAACACAGGCCTCGTAGTTTACCATGGAACTAGATGGTGCTGTGTGTTAATGTCCCAATATATTTATATATTTTTTCATTTATATGCAAAAATTTATATGTGTTATTATTATTCTTCACATTGAAACGGCTGGACGGATTTAGATGAAATTTAGTACACAGATAGTCTATACTTGGAGATACATAGGTACCCTGACAAATTTCAAGACAAAGTACACCAAAGTATTTGGTGTACAAGACTGATATATTGATTAAACATATTTTTATTGACATAGATAACTATCAATTTTAAAATTCAACCCCCAAGAAAGCGAATATTTGACATTTTAAATAAAGTGTTGATACAAATTTTGATTTTTGGTTGGAAGAGACTCTCGTGTAACCATGATTGCTTTTACAGCAATCATGGTCACAGGAGATGGCATTCGAAACACCGGGAACCAAAAATTAAAGTAAATTTGCGAAAAATCCGAAAGTTACTCTAATGTAAAAACCTAAGGGAGCATTAAGATGTTGCATATGTAGTATAATAGATACATATATACATACATACATAGAAAACTATATTTTTGGGGTGTTATATTTTTTGGGTATCATAGTGTTTAAAGTTTAACAGAATTAAAAGACAAACAAGAAGTAAAAGGGGGAATGCTAATTCATTAAGCTTAAATAATAATTTATAAAAAGGATCAATAATAAATATTATTTTATATAATATCGTTTACGTATACGATGTATCACAGCCCCTCTCTTCCATTGATGCGAAGCGGAGTCGAGTCAACGAACCTCTTAAACGACGTCAGTACAATTTATTTCTGTTTAATTTGTTTGGCAACTTGTTTATCTGTTTCATCGAGAGTTGATACACTTGTAGCGTTTTTTTTTATTTCTCTAAATATAAATTAGAGTTTTCTAAATATAGTACAAAATGAGACAAAAGTCAAAGTACTCTCAAACAAAAATAATTTATCATTTAGTTTTATTTACGTAAAAATTGCACTTTCATAATTAGATAAAATTACAGATTCTTATATAAATTTCAACGATCGACGATTTGCATTATTATTTAATAATGATATCCTCTCCATTTTCAATAAAAATATAAAAAGCCAATGGGAGTTTCTGTCTGTACAAAAGTTTTATTACAAATACAGGCACACGTCCTGATCGGAACTCCTTAGGACCTCATGGAGTTTTAGATACAACTAGTCCAACGAAGCAATCGATTAGAGTTAACTCGTTACTGAATTAATAATTAAAACATATTCGCCCATACTTTACTCTTACTTTGTACAATATCATCACCTTTTATATCTTCTAAGGTAGTGCTCAGCGTCCATATATACAATATACATATACATTATACAGACATATTATGTGTCCTATATGAATGTCCTATAATAAGTTTTACGGATTTCGGATTTTATAGATGCGAAAATTTGTTATGCTGTGTGTATGTTTGTTGCTCTTTGTCGCGGAAATGGCTAGATAGATTTGGATGTTTATTGTACATATAGACTGAACCTTTTTTTAAAGTTGGGAGCTAAATCACATTCAGAAAAGCCAGTACTACCCACTATAACCCAACGGTACTTCCCATGTCTTAATGGCATCGCAGGATCGCTTGCGTTCTCAACCACGACGCCCCAACGGCTTCCTGCCAAGGTGACCAAAACCACCATGGGGTTGATCCCACGATCCTTTCTGCTATCAGAGAAGTACTAGGAGCAACCCGAATGTTACACCACTCACCGAAACGAGCTCTTGGTTTCACGCCCGGCTGGATAGATAGACTGGACCTGGAGTAACATATAGGCTTATTATTATATTAATACTATTGTTATAATAGCGTCATTTTGTATGCGTGTGTATTTTTGTTAATTACTTTAACTGCTAAACGGATTTTGATAAAATTTTGTACAACGATAGTACGATGACTTGGAATAACAGGTAAGCTACTGTAGACATGAAGGGGTAAGAGCGAAGCGACTAGGGTAAGTTGCTTGTAATATCCTATAACCAAATTCGTCTCTTTCCAAGCATCATACTCATAAAATGGGTCTAACCTAAAAAACTTGCCATAAACTAAAGAGGCGGGTCGACGCATTATCGGCCATTAATTTTAAGCACCTCTAAACAGCTGTTTATGATTTTGCACTTAATGTATGTATCGCTTATTGGTTTTATATCAAAATAATCGAAAAGCCATCTTGAATTGATTAATTTAATAAAATGTAAAAAGGATATTATTTATTTATTGTGATTATAATAAATTATACAATATTATTAAAATTCAAGGTTCATGCCAAAGGATCTACGACCAGCCACGCGTTTCCAGCTACGTTTGTCTTTTTCACTCAAAACTGTATACTGAATAAATTTAACACAAGCTTTTAATGTAAAATCTATTATTTTTATATCCCATGGGAACTATTTGATGGAACGAGATAAAAAGTAAATTAAGTCCATCTTTATGCCATAGGATAATATGTACTTTGGCTCAACACGATTAGTTGTGGCTTTATGGCGTCAAGTGATGATCTATAAATAAACAAACACTTACTATGTAATAATATAATCACAAAATAAAACTTTCTGTGAAATTACTTCGAAATAGATTAAAGTTTATATGATATGATATTTAGGATTTTTAAACTAATAACTGTAATTTTGCAATCAATTAGTATGTAGTTAGAATTCTAGATAGTCTTAAGAGAAAAAAATTATAACAAACTTTTTTTACAACAGACAAAGCAATAGCAGAAAATTCGTAAACTATGGATCAAGAATTTCTTTTTTTTTGAACTTTCAAACATTCTTTGTAAATTGTCTATCTACGATGGAAATAATATACTGACCGCCGACT